CCACCCCCCCGCGAGCCTGGGTCCTCCAGGACCGGGTCAGGCATTGTTTTCTTGCCTATTGTTCCCGTCCCGCGCCCCCCACCCCAAGTTGAAGGAGTTTTGGGGAGAGTCCAGGGAGCAAGGAGTGAACTCCCTGAGCCCCGCACCGCCGGTTGTCGGGGCTGTCCCGGGAATGTTTACCTGCGAGGTGTCCCCCCCCCCCTTTCCTCCTCCCGCCTGGTTTATTTTGGTTCCCGCTCCGGGAGGAAGAGGTCAAGGGGGGGTCATCCCCCTTTGCTTCCGGATACTGGGAGGAGCGGACCTGGGAAGGGAGGAGGAGGGTCCCACGGGATAAGGGACTCCTGCAATCCTCCGGGGAAGAGCTGAGGCTGGGAGAGCGGTGCTATAGGGGGCCGGAATGGAGGAGAGGGAGGTTTGGAGTTTCCCCCAGCAGCACATGGTTCGGGAGTTAACTCCTTGAGGAATCTTGCCGAGGGCGCAGGCTGGCATCTCTCCGCCTGACTGGTACAGGCAACGGCCCCCCTCTTCCTGAGACAACCCTTAATGCTGTGGCTGCGGGCCCTTCCCGCCAGTCTCCCCCGGTTACCTGCACCACACCTGCTCAGCTTTGACTTTTGACCTGTACCTGCGAGAGAGGCAGAAAATGAGGTTCTTGGACCCCCGACTTCCTTGCCTCCTCTCTTACTGGCCCTTTAAGAAGTGCCCCCCCCCCCATAACAACAAACGTGTTACAGTCATGACTATTTCTTGTTCTGATGCTTGGGGACTGAGTGGTCAGGGCCGAGGATGGGAAACAGGTCCAGGAAGAAAATGGGCAGGGGGATGAGGATGGAGGATCTTTGGAAGTTTAAGGTCAAGGACTGTCAGACTTTTTGCCCCTGTTTGGAATATGCTTGGTGGTTGTGTGATTGAAGGCTGGCTCTAGGCTGTCGGACATTTCTTGTGGTCCCGTTCCGGAGTGACCTGGGGTCCGGGGAGCAGCCCCGCCTACTGGACTGGTTTTAGTCCACTGGTCTCTCCCCGGCGCCCCCAGTTACTCTGGGAAAAACCCAGTGGCCGAGGGCTTTGCCTAGTGACGACTCTCCTCCCCCACCCTTAGCTTGCTATGGCATCGTCCAGGTGCCCACGGGACCCTGGTTCTGCAGGAAGTGTGAATCTCAGGAGCGAGCAGCCAGGGTGGTGAGTTCAGATTCTGCTATCTCCTTTTCCTCTCCCCGTACCTGAACATCTGCAGGTTGAGCTAGGGTACCCTGAGGCAGGGCAGGACTAAGCTTCGCCACTCAGGATATCCTGTTTCCTGACTCCCATCACCAGCCCTATCTCTCCCTCTGCTCATCACTCAGCTCTGCCCCACCTCCGGCATGGGGGCTTTGATTTTTGTGTGCATATGTGCTTTTTTTGGGTAACTTTTTATTACGAAAGGTTGTCAAGGCTACAGTGAGGAACCTCGGGTCCTCCTTACTCGGCCTCCAGCAGTTAGGAGCTCACGGCCAAGCCTCTTTCCTGTGCACCCTCACTCCGTCCCCAACTCTTATGTCATCTTGGGTCCTTTGGATGAGTTCAGGGAGGGCCCAGAGCAGCAGATTCCCCAATCCCTGTGCTCCTTGCATTGGCAGAGGTGTGAGCTGTGCCCACACAAAGATGGGGCATTGAAGAGGACAGACAATGGAGGTGAGGGGACCCTGAACCCCTGCTGAGGTCAGCCAGACCCCCTGAGCAGGTGTGGGGTGGAGGCTGGCTTTCCCTGCTCTGCTTGGTACAGGAAGGTTGTGGAAGCAGGGGACAGGTTGACAGCTCGGTGTTGGGAGGGGTGGGGTCCGGCACCTGCTGTCCTGCTGAGGCGAATCCCCACACTGCCCCAGGCTGGGCCCACGTGGTGTGTGCCCTCTACATCCCTGAGGTGCAGTTTGCCAACGTGCTCACCATGGAGCCCATTGTGCTGCAGTACGTCCCGCACGATCGCTTCAACAAGGTCAGTCCCCTTCCTGGCCTGCTGTCCTGGGGTGCCACCGTGGTGCCCTCTGGTTCTCTTAGGGAGCCCGGGAGATGGGTGGGTGCTTAAACTTCAGCTGCCTTCTGTGCACAGACAGGTACATGCCTGTGTTCTGTAACCTGGCAAAATAGTCAGCGCCCTCCAAGTAGCACAGCCAGAGACTAGCCTTTAGTTAGTAGTGCATTTATTTTCCTGAGTTTCTGATATGTGAGAGACATGGTACGGGGGCCCCCAGTGCTTGCTGTTCAAGACAGACGTGTAAGCATCATTGAGATAAAGGGCACCCACTGAGGCTTGCTCGGGTATAAGGCGGTTAAGGAAGGAGATGTTTAGGCTGAGACCTGGGGCATGAGAAAGAACTGACTTTGATTGAGGATGGCTGGTCCCAGGTTCCATGAAAAAGACACACCATATGCAGAGGTCCAGCAAGGGGAGCAATGGGCGTATCAGGGAGGGAGGCTAAGGTAGATGCCGGCCTCTCCAACCTCCCCAAGGATCGTGCTGTCTGTATGAGGATGTGCGTTGAAAATTGAATACTCCGCTGGGCGGCGGTGGTGGCGCACGCCTTTAATCCCAGCACTCGGGAGGCAGAGCCAGGCGGATCTCTGTGAGTTCGAGGCCAGCCTGGGCTACCAAGTGAGTCCCAGGAAAGGCTCAAAGCTACACAGAGAAACCCTGTCTCCAAAAACCAAAAGAAAAGAAAAAAAACAACAATTGAGTACTCCGGCTGGAGAGATGGCTTGGTAGTTAGAGACCTTGCTGCTCTTGCATAGAATCCGGGTTCAGTTCCTGGTACTCCCATGACAGCCTGCAACCACGTTTACCTCCAGTTCAAGGGAATCAATCCAATGCACTCTTCTGGCCTGTGAGGGCACCAGGCATACATTGTTGTACACATACATACATGTAGCCAAACACTCATAAAATTTAAACCTTTAAATTGAATATTCAGAATCCATTTCCTCTGGCATACCAGTTGCATTTCAAGTGCTTGATGGCCTGGTGGCTAGCGCTTGTTGGCCTCCAAGCACTTGTTGGCTTGCATTGTATAGTTTAGAGACCATTTCTGTTCCTGCAGAAAATTCTGTTGGAGGGCATTGATCTGGGGTGGTGGGGGACAGGATGGAATTGAGGGGAGGCCGGGGAGGCCCTCAGCAGGCAAGGTGGTGTTCCCTGAGGAGGGATCAATTGTGCTGTGCCCTGCAGACCTGTTACATCTGTGAGGAGCAGGGCCGGGAGAGCAAAGCTGCCTCAGGGGCCTGCATGACCTGCAACCGCCACGGATGTCGCCAAGCTTTTCATGTCACCTGGTGAGATTCCTGAAGTTCCCAACCGCTCTGAGGGTGGTGGTGGCCAGTGAGTGGGATTATCTTGTGAGAGACGGTGGCGATGCCATGCTTGGAACTTGGGTCCAGGAAGAAGGAGGTGGGAACGGCTGTGGTTTGTGGCTGCACCCTGCTGACCTGCCTCTCCTCAGTGCCCAGATGGCAGGCCTGCTGTGTGAGGAAGAAGTGCTGGAGGTGGACAACGTCAAGTACTGCGGCTACTGCAAATACCACTTCAGCAAGATGGTGAGTCCTGCCCGCTAGTGGGCACGTGGGCCCGGGACATGCCTGTGCCCCGTACTGGAAGGTTGAAAGACCCCCCATGCTCTAGTCCCTGCCTTTCAGGAACTGTGCCTGTCAGAACTAAACCAAGTATTGAGGCTAGGATACAGACAGGACCCCCCCCCTTCCCCCCACGATTGTCAATCCAGGCATCTTTCGCTAATAGAACTAGGACGAGTGGATTAACAGCTCTTACTGGGACAGTGTCTTTGCCACAGTCGTGATGACTTTGTGTGCTTCTCCCACAGCCCAAAATGTGCCGCATGAGCCCCATTTCACAGATACCGTAAATTAAGCATCCCTAAGATTGCCGGGGCGGTGATGGCGCACCCCTTTAATCCCAGCACTGGGGAGGCAGAGCCAGGCGGATCTCTGTGAGTTCGAGGCCAGCTTGGTCTACAGAGCGAGATCCAGGACAGGCACCAAAGCTATACAGAGAGACCTTGCCTCGAGAAAAAAAAAAAGCATCCCTAAGATTGTATCGCTTGTCTCACAGCTGGTGGGTGGGATTCAGATTAAACAGTTTCATCAGAAAGCCCCTCAGGAACCGTGCCAGGGGAAGACAGAGCCCTGAGGTGAGGGAAGGGTGTTGGATAAGACCAGGCAGGCAGTGAGCTTGAGGCAGGGAGATGAGGCACTCATGGCTGAACAGACTTGGAGATTCCCCAGGCTGGCATGGATCTGCAGAGGTAGGCTACAGCCAGGACTCCGTGCCCCAGGCCACACAGCTTGGAGAGCTCCAAAGCCAGAGAGTAACATGATCAGATTTGTGTTATAGGCAGATTACCCTGGCAGCAACCATGAAGCTGGGTGGAGAGACAGCTGCAGGAAGGGGGCGGGTGACAGAGGGACCGGGCTGTCTGCTGGAGTCCTGTAGGTGGACTTGGTCTAAACACGAGAGTGGTCAAGAAGCAGAAGGTGACTGACATAAGATCCACACTGTCGCTAATCACTGGCTGGGGAGAGGTGGGTCCCTGGGGGTGGTAGGAAGGGGGCGGCTGGCCTTGAAGGGGCGTACACACCTTGGTCCACACCAGCCCATCTTGTTGTGTGCCTGTTGCTCTGGTGTAATGATTAATAGTTTCCCTTCCCTCTCCAACAGTGCCCTGGTCACCACGCTTTTTTAGGGTTTGATAGCCACTTAGGACAAGGTCAGGAGTTTTGTTGCCTCTGCAGGGGGCACTGGGTAGACACGAGATCCGAATTTGGTGGGGGTCCCCAGGCAGGGTCAGGGTGGCAAGGGCAGATGGAGGTTACCAGGCTGAGGCCGCCTCCCTCTGTGGGCGTCCAGAATAGACTGGGTCCAGATGTGAAAGAGACTTGGGAGAAACGATCTGGAGCTTGATGAAGTGGGAGCGGAGCCCAAGCTGGCAAAGTCTGAAATTAATCCTAGGCTTTGGCAACTGGGAAGTAGTGGTGGTCTTCAGGAGCAGCTGCAAGCCTCTGGGGGGGTAAAGCCATCAGACCTGGCCCAGGAGGGCAGTCCCGGGGAGATAGTTTGGTGTTTATAGCCAGCAGCCCCCAGCTCAGGGCCACAGGTCTTCTGTAGAGATGTACTGCTGGACAGAGAGGAAAAGCAGGACCAAGGGAGGAAGATGGGATGGCTAGCGAGAGCTGGAGTGCGCGGGGATCCTCTTGTTCTAAGGGCTGTGGTTCAGTCTGCCTGAGACTGCTGCAAGGACAATGGGGAGTGGAGCAGTGGAGCAAGAAGCCCAAGTGCACCCCAACCTCACCGTCCCTGGCTGGGGGCCGAGGCTGGCCCATGCCTCTTTTGAACCTCTGAGGTTGAATCTGTGCATTGCTAAGACAGTGGCACACACCTTTAATCCCAGCACTCAGGAGGCAGAAGCTATCCAATCTCTGTGAGTTCGAGGACAGCCAGGGCTACACAGAGAAATCCTCTCTCATAAACAAAACAAACGGACAAAGACAGCTGGGGAAGCTCTAGGATTTCTAGTTTGTCCAGAGTATCACGGAAGACAGGAGTGATCTGCAGGGCCAGAGGGACTGGCCCTAGGATCTTGTGACCTTCAGGAACCTTCCTTAAGCTAATGAAAGAAAGGTTTGGCAATTACTCTCGTTCTTTTTTTTTTTTTTAATTTTTTTTTCCCCAAGACAGGGTTTCTCTGTGTAGCTTTGTGCCTTTCCTGGATCTTGCTCTGTAGCCTAGGCTGGCCTTGAACTCACAGAGATCCGCCAGGCTTAAAAGCCTGTGCCACCACCGCCCTGCTAATTGCTCTCATTCTCTACCTCCAGAAGACATCCCGGCACTCCGGCGGTGGCGGCGGGGGAGGCGGCGGTGGCAGTGGGGGCACAGGAGGAGGCAGCGGTGGGGGCAGCAGCAGTGGGACCAGCGGTGGCGGAGGTGGTACAGGGGGAGGCAGCAGCAGCGGCAGCGGCGGCAACAGCTTCCTCACTGGCAGCAGAAGCCGCTCTGCCTCACCATCCACCCAGCAGGAGAAGCACCCTACCCACCACGAGAAGGGCCAGAAGAAGGTGAAGGCCTGCTTTGGCTCCCATACTTCTTTTTAGGGACTGCCACCAGGTGCCCAGGCCTTCCTCTGAGGCCAGCAAGGTTGGAGAGGGGACTAAGGAAGTGTCACTTGGGGCTCAGAGGTTGGGACCTGGTCTCTGTGTCTGTGTGGTCTCTGTTTTCCCCATGACGTGACCGTGTCCCCAACCTCCAATTTCGTGGCCCTCCATGTTTGCACACATCTCTAGCCTGTCTCTCCCCCTGTGCCCCGTGCCGAGAAGTGCTCACTTTTGTTCAGTGTGTGTTCCAGGGGGACACCCTTGTGAGTGCCTGCTCATGTGTGTGGCACTCCGTCGTCACTGGCACCATAATGGGACAGGCTATTTTTAGCAGGAGGGAGGATGGGGGAGGGGCTCTTGGCTCTCAGAGGATCTTGCCTGGGCTGCTCCTGTCCAGCTGGAGTCTTCCATCCCTCTGTAGAGGGAGAGGACTCGCTGAGCCCCACTCCTGAGAGGGCTCAGTTCCCAACACCCACATGTCATGGTTAACCTCCTTCAGACAACCTGTCCATCAATGTCTGGTCACCCTTCCCTCCCCAGAGTCGGAAGGATAAAGAACGCCTTAAACAGAAGCACAAGAAGCGGCCTGAGTCCCCCCCCAGCATCCTCACCCCGCCTGTGGTCCCCACTGCTGATAAGGTACCACTGCTCATTCTCTGGATGCTGGGTGTGAGTAAGCATGTAGTGTGAAGGGTCAGGGTGAGCAGGGGCCTGCTTGCTTGGGCGTCATCCTCTCACAGCTCATGGTTAATGTCACCTCTGCCCAGCAAGCCCTGACACATCATAAGGGTGAGGTGTGTGTGTGGGGGTACCTCCCTGCCTGCTAGCTGCCATGGGCACCTTTGTCCACACAGAGGCTCTCAGCATTGGGGTTTTGTCTTCAGAGAGCAGATGGGTGGCCCTGCGGCTTTTTTTCCGTGCTCTGGGGCCAATCCTGCAGGATAGGACATCTAGATCCCACTCATGCCGGGTGGGAGTGGGGATGGGGGTGGGAGAAGGCTTCTGACAGTACCCTGAAATCCCTAGTCACCCCACCCTACTCAGCAGGCCTGTCTCTAGAAGTGGGTGGCATCAGAATGAGCAACAGGCAGGCCCTACCCTAGGCCAGTGAGTGCTAATCCAAGCCAGAGCAGACCCATGGGAGTCCCCTGGGGGCCTGGAGAAAGCACCCCCTCTTGTCCCATTACTGCTAGTCACCTCTGCCCCCTCACATGGTTGGCAGGGCACTGGGCATCGTAGCGGGAGGCTCAGGGATCAGGTTTCCAGGGTGATGTTGCTGTGGCAACTGTCCCAGTAACTCCCCTCCTGCTTCGCTGGGCTCACCTGGGAAAGCTGGTCCGACCTTTCCAGAGCCTTCCGGCAGGTAGAAGGACCTGTCAGGGCCCCTCCCAACCAGGGCCTTAACCCTTGGACATGCTGTAGAGTTTTGCCTGTCCCCCCACAACCCATCCCAACATTTAAGGCCCCCTTCCCCCAGCTCCTCTCTTCCGTGGCTTTCCGAACCACATCTGGCTCCCTTCAGAACTCCAGCTGCAGAAAAGAACAAAGGAAGACGGAGAGGAGGGCCCCGCCCAGGGCGGGCGGCAGCCCAGGGTGGCTCTCTCGCCCTTCCTTCCCTTCAGTTGTTCCTTGAGCGCAGTTTGAATACCTGGTGTCCACCCTAAAGAAAATCCCCTGCCCAGGCACCAGAGGCACAGCTACCTGGAGACTGTCTCTGGGAGAGAAGGGGCGCGTCGGGAGGGCGGAATTCATTCCTCAGAATAACTCAGTGTGGAAGATGCCTTGTCGCTTCCCCTTCCTCAGGGGTGCTCAGCCACCAGAGAAGTTACGTAACTCGCCTAAAAGCACCCAGCTAGTGGGAAAGTTTCGAACCAAAGTGGTCTGGCTTGAAGGGCACCACACGGAACTGTCCTTGCTAGGCTCTCACAGCCACGGCCATCAGACCCCAAATTTACTCACCCCCCACCCCATGTCTCTGGTATGGAGCTGCTCCTGACTCCCAGGAATGTACTCCTAAGGATGGTGCAGCTGAACCAGGTCCAGAGGCTAAACTACCTGGAGAACATGGTGAGGAGGCCAGAGCCTTCTAGGCCCGCAGCTCTGTTCCTCCGATACTCCCCAACACCTTGCCCTCCCAGGAGAGCAGACACCGGACAGCGTGCTTCGGGGCAGCATAGCAACCCTTGACATGCAGGCATGGTTTGCAGGGCCCTGAGAGGAAGCCAGAATGGGTCATCACCTAGGTGTGTGGGGAGGCTTCCTAGAGCGGGACTTCCTCGATGGATGTTGGAGGAGGGAAGACAGGCCGCCCTGTGGAGGGTTGGGGTGTAGGCTTGGATGTCCAACAGGAGCGTGCAGTGGTCACAACCAGGTGGTTGTGAGTGGTAACAACTGGAGGGCCCTAGACCAGCACCAGCCTTTAGGCCAGAGGTATTCACCAGTGATCTTCTATGAGTAGGCCAGTTCGGAATGTGGCCTGGTCTCTCTTGGGTCCTGGGGCAAAGACAGACAGACACTGGGTTCAGGACATTGCCTAGAACTCCACAGCTACCTCTCCCTCTCTCCCATCTCCATGTTCTAGAGTCTCCCACAGGCTCCTTGCCTGGAAAGGCTTCACAGGAGACTCCCAGTTGAGCCCAGGTCCTTTGCCTTCGCCCTCACCCCCCGAATCAGGCTGAGCTGGACTGGACAGGCTGCGACGAGCGTCTCTTTGGTCTCTCCCTCAGGTCTCCTCAGCTACTGCTTCCTCCCACCACGAGGCCAACACTCAGGAGACCCCTGAGAGCGGCAGGGACTCGAAGGGGAAAAAGCCTTCCAGCCATGGCCTGAGTCATAAGGGGAAGAAACTGAGCAGCGGGAAAGGTGTGAGCAGTTTTACCTCCACCTCCTCCTCTTCCTCCTCCTCTTCCTCTTCTTCCTCCTCCTCTGGGGGGTCTTTGCAGCCTGCAGGTGAGTATGGGTGTCCTGGAGGAGGCTGGGAGCGGGAGCCTGCAAGGGCCTTTGCCTGGTGGTTTACATCTCCCGTTGTTTTTACAAGCTGATGCGGGGTGACAAGGCGGGGATCCCCCCAGTGGCTCATTTCCCAGCTGGACTCTCTTCCCTTCCCTTTTTCTTTTTTTGAGATTTCTTTATTTATGTGTACGGGTGTTTTCTCAGCACACCAGAAGAGGGCATGGGATCCTTATGGACCGGTTGTGTCGGATCCCATTATTAATAGTTGTCTTAGATCTCATTATAGACAGTTGTGAGCTGCCATGTGGTTGCTGGGGATTGAACTCTCGTCCTCTGGAAGAGCCGTTAGTGCTCTTAACCGCTGAGCCATCTCTCCAGCCTCCACCTTCCCCTCCTAAGTCAGGACTCCTTTTCTTTACAGGGCCAACCCCTCTAGCCCCGCAGTAACGTCCCCTACTTTGGTGTCCAAAGGGCCGCATGAAAGCACCAATAAATACTAGCTCCAGGCACAGCGGCCTGGGATCCCAGCACTTGGGAGCTGCAGGATGGCCCGAGTTTGGGGCCAGCTTGTTTGTGAGGCCCTGTGCCCGGCCCGTGCTCCATGTAACAGTCATTTGTTCAAAGGGCGGGACGTGCTTTCCTCCTGTTTTATTTCGGCAGGGACCGTTCACCTGGGACCCCGAGCGGGGACCAGGCCCCGTTCCCCAGCTAGTGACCTCCTCCTGCGGGCGGGGGAGGGGAGGGGAGGGGAGGGCCCCCGCAGTAATCCCTCCCTTTGTTGTAGGCTCATCCTTGCAGGGCTCTCCAGACTTCACAGCATTCCCCAAGCTGGAGCAGCCCGAGGAAGACAAGTACTCCAAGCCCACGGCCCCCACTCCGCCAGCCCCTCCCTCGCCCACGGCCCCTGAGCCGCCGAAAGCTGACCTCTTCGAGCAGAAGGTGGTCTTCTCTGGCTTTGGGCCCATCATGCGCTTCTCTACCACCCCCTCCAGCTCCAGCCGGGCCCGCGCCCCCTCACCTGGGGACTATAAGTCTTCCCATGTTGCCGGGGCCGGGGCCTCGGCAGGCACGCATAAGCGGATGCCTGCACTGAGTGCCACCCTTGGACCTGCTGAGGAGGCCCCTGAGACGGGCCTGAAGGAGAAGAAGCACAAAGCCAGCAGGAGGAGCCGACATGGGCCAGGCCGTCCTAAGGGTAGCCGAGGCAAGGAGGGCGCCCCAGGCCCGACCGCCTCCCTCCCTGGGGCTCAGCTGGCTGGTTTCACTGCGACTGCGGCCTCACCCTTCTCCGGAGGGTCCCTGGTCAGCTCTGGCCTTGGGGGTCTGGCCTCCCGGACCTTTGGGCCTTCAGGAAGCTTGCCCAGCCTGAGCCTGGAATCCCCTCTACTGGGGGCAGGTTAGTGACCCCTGTAGTTAGAGAACATTTATTTCAATGTCTAGCCAATCCCGTGAGGTCAGGGGCATAAATGTAAGAGTTAGAGGAAATGTAGCTAGGTAGAAACCGCTCCAAAAGGCAGCAGGGAGGTGGCCATCACCTCTAAGGTGTTCCCTTAGATGTCTTGTGCATGAAGAGGTTGGGGTAGACCCTAGCGGGACTTAACCGTGTCCTGTAGAAGAGTAAGACAAGCTAAGAATTGCCCAGGCTAAGAGGCAGGTAATAAACTAAATGGCCCGAGTGAGTCCCAGGCCTGCTGTGTCCCTGAAGAGGGGCCTGGGGTAGAATGTGTCCTTAGAGTTTCCTCTGTCTTTGTGCCTTCAGGAATCTACACCAGTAATAAAGACCCCATCTCCCATGGTGGAGGGGTGCTGCGGGCTGTCTGCAGCACTCCACTCTCTTCCAGCCTCCTGGGGCCCCCAGGGACCTCAGCCCTGCCCCGCCTCAGCCGATCCCCGTTCACCAGCACCCTCCCATCCTCTTCTGCTTCCATCTCCACCACTCAGGTGAGGCGCTGTCCCAGGGGCCGGCACTCTGGACTGCTTCTCCAGGTGCCCGCACCATGCAGCCTTGGCAGATGCAGGAGCGCAGTGAGGCCAGAGTCTGTTCCTCCCAACAGGTGTTTTCTCTGGCTGGCTCTACCTTCAGTCTCCCTTCTTCCCACATCTTTGGAACCCCCATGGGCACTGTTAACCCCCTCCTGACCCAGGCTGAGAATAGCCACACAGGTATGCTGCTGGTCCCTGCTCCTGTTTCCCTCTTCTGAAGGACTGGAGAGAGCGGGTGAGCCCCTTCCCTCTGGCCTGCCTACTCTGCCTAACTAAATTTACTTCACATGCGACCAACCAGGGGGCACCTTCCAGGAAAACAGGTGCAGGGCCAGGCATGGCAGCGCTGCCCCATCCCACAGAAGAGAAGTGAGCTGCTCTAAGCAGTGGGTAGAGAATGCCAAAGCCAGCTCAGACAATCCCGAGCCAGCCCGAGGCCCTTAGCACTCCCCCGGCCCCGTCCTATGCAGTTGTAGTCAGGGTCTCAGAGGTCCTAGCAGCTGGGCTTTCTGTTCTCCAGGGATTTAGGAGTTAAGGGGGTGGGATGCAAAGTCCCCTACTCTCTCAGCCTGGAGTCTACTCAGCCCCTGAGAGTTGAACCCTGTCAGCCTGGGGGCAGGGCTTAGCTGTAGGCTGCCAGTTCAGGTAAGCTTTTCAAAGAAACCAAATCTGACTTGAGTTTCAGGACCCCGTTGGGTAAGATTGGTGTGTGTGTGTGTGTGTGTGTGTGTGTGTGTGTGTGTGTGTGTGTGTGTGTGTGTGTGTGTGTGTGTGTGTGTGTGTCCCCGTCCGTCCGTGTCCATCTTGTGGCCAAGAGTTTTCTCATCTGAGTTTATGAATGTAAAGAGTCAGACAAAGCTAATTATGATAATACAATGATTAAGGACTTGCCTTGTGCACGCTGAGCCCTCCAGCTAAGCACTTCACTTTTATGACCTTATTTTAATCCTTGGAACAATGGCTGTAGTGAGGCTGGTTACCGTCTCAAGGTCACACAGCTAGTGTCTGGTTCATTTGATCAGGTTTGTCTGGACCTCAGATTCGGTAACTGGAAGATCTAGAGACAGACAGCAGGAGCCCTGTTGGGGGGGGGGGGCTTTCCTGAGATGGGGGCGCCAGCCTGAGCTCCCAGGCTAGGTTTGGGAGGTGCTGAAGAAGGGGCAGATAGTCTCCCTCCCCCCTGATCCTTACCAATCCCTTCTCCTTCCAAGAGCCAGACCTAGAAGACTGCAGCTTCCGGTGTCACGGGACCTCCCCCCAGGAGAGTCTCTCTTCCATGTGAGGGAGGATGCTCCTCTCAGGAGGGAGGAGTGGGTGGGGACGGGAGAGAGCATCCCCTGGTTGGCGGGGGTGGGGCTGGAATCAGGGTGCTAGGCGAGCCTGAGTCTGTCCTCCTCTGGCCGGCAGGTCACCCATCAGTAGCCTCCCTGCGCTCTTCGACCAGACGACATCGGCCCCCTGTGGGGGTGGCCAGTTAGACACCACAGCCCCGGGGACGACTAATATGGAGCAGCTGCTGGAGAGGCAGGGCGATGGAGAGGCTGGTGTCAACAGTGAGCAGGGTCCAGGGATGGGGGCTGCCCCAGCCGCTCCCTCCTTCCCCTTTCCCCTAGGCTCTCTCCTCCTGGCCTCCTGGCCCAGATCTTAACCAGACCCCAGCTTGCACCCACTCCCCTCAATCTCGGGGGCGCCCTTCCCCAGCCCTCAGACCTCTGTCTCCCAGATGCGCTGTCTTGCCAGCGGGAGCAGCCTCCCCAAAGAGATGTGGGTCGCCTTGTCCCTCCAGACCCTGTCCCTCCCGCTGGCCCTGCCTCCTTGGTGCCCCAGGCACTAACCTCAGGCTCCTCCTTCTCTTCCTCCTCTCTGAAGTTGTGGAGATGCTGAAGGCCCTGCATGCCCTGCAGAAGGAAAACCAGCGGCTGCAGGAGCAGATCCTGAGCCTGACCGCCAAGAAGGAGCGACTCCAGATCCTCAACGTGCAGCTCTCCGTACCTTTCCCAGCCCTGCCCGCCGCCCTGCCCGCCACTAATGGCCCCATCCCAGGACCCTACGGGCTGCTTCCTCAAGGTGAGGGGATGCAGTCCCGGCTGGGGTGAGGAATCCCTGCCCGGTGCCTTGAACCGTGCCTTGCATCTCCTGCGCTCCATCCTTCAGCGGGCGGCAATGACTCCTTGAGCACCAGCAAGAGCCCTCCAGGGAAGAACAGCCTGGGCCTGGACAACTCCCTGTCCACGTCTTCCGAGGTGGGCACTGCACGGAGGGCCCAGGGAGGAGCAAGCGGAGAGGGTCCTTTCAGTCTAGTTACTGCCCGCCACTGTTGGAAGCGGGCCGCCCAGCAACCCGTGATCTTCTTAGTGGTTATTTTAAATAAGTGATACGCGTGGGGCGCCTCCTTAACCCGGCACTGACTAAGCCGGCAGTGAGGAAAGTAGACCCAGGCCTCCTGACTGACGATGGGCTGAGCCCAGGAAGACAGCAGACTGCAAAGGAGAAAGAGGAAGATGAGCTCAGTTAAGGGCTAGAGGAGCGTGGGGGAGGCCGTCTTGGGGAAGGAGTGTTCAGAAGCGTCTGTGAAGGGTTTATTACAGTGCCCCACACAAACTAATCCCTGGGTAATTGGTAGCGGTTGGAAGAGCAGTGGCTGTTGTTATGTTGTGGTTCTTATTGGAATCAAACAGACCGGGTGCTTGTCTCTCCTCTGCCGCTGACTGACTAGGACTTAGGGCCGTCGTGATCATAAAAATAACACTAGTTGCCAGCAAGCTTGCCCTGTGACTTAAAATCACGAGTCTCTCTAGTCTCCACAGTGACCTTGTGGAATGGATATTACTAGCACCCATAGTGCATGAATATGTAAACCAAGGCAGGGAGGCTGAACCCAGGGCTACCCAAGGCCCTGAGTTGTGGGCATGGGATTTGAACCTGAGCCTCTCACTCTAGTTGAGTTCTGAAGTGGAAATAACAGGCTAGTGCAGGTCAAGTCCTAACCGCTGGACCTGGTTCCTTTGAAAAGATCAGTGCCATTACTGTTGTTTGTTACTGGGCCAGCACAAGAAGGGTGCTGGGCTTCCGGAAGTGTAAACGCGATCTGTGAGCACTGTGTAGACCTTTAGCTTCCATCACTGGACTGCTGTCTCTCCAGGGTGCCTGGAGGCTTGGGGGCTTGGCTTCAGGAGAACGCTGGTGGGTACTGGGCTGGGGGCCAGAAAGGTCATGCTGGCCCTCCGCCCTCTGACTTGTCCCTCCCCCTCCCTCCCCAGGACCCACACTCAGGCTGCCCGAGCCGCAGCAGCTCATCGCTGTCCTTCCACAGCACGCCCCCGCCGCTGCCCCTGCTCCAGCAGAGCCCTGCTACTCTGCCCTTGGCCCTGCCCGGGGCCCCTGCCTCGCTCCCACCCCAGCCGCAGAACGGGCTGGGCCGGGCACCTGCAGCGGCGGGGCTGGGGGCCATGCCCATGGCGGAGGGGCTGTTGGGTGGGCTGGCAGGTAGCGGGAGCCTGCCCCTCAATGGGCTTCTGGGGGGCTTGAACGGGGCTGCTGCTCCCAACCCTGCGGGCTTGAGCCAGGCTGGCGGGGCCCCCACGCTTCAGCTGCCAGGTTGTCTCAACAGGTGAGGGAGAGAGCTCAACCCACGGGAAGGGGAAGGGAGGCTGGATGCGGGAGGGATGCCCCCCAGTAACCCTTGCCCCCCCAAAGGGAAAAAGTGCCCTCTGGCCCTATCAGATTTATAATCCTGGCAGTCTGTTGACTTCAGGGACTCCCTGAAAACTTGAGCCTTGAGTGCATCTGGACAGGAGTCGTTGAGGGCACAAGATCTTAACCATGTCCCTACCATTAGTCTTTTGGACAGGTTGTCTGTCCATCTGCCTGGGCCCGAGGGATTCTGGGAGCTCGTGGGTGTGGGGTACACTGCTCTGCACCTCCTCATCTGTCTTACCCCTGCCTCAGCTTGACAGAGCAGCAGAGACGTCTCCTTCAGCAGCAAGAACAGCAGCTCCAGCAGCTCCAGCAGCTCCTGGCCTCGCCGCAGTTGACCCCAGTGAGTGCCCCCTCCCTGGCCAACCCCTGCCAGCTCTACCCAAAGCCATCCGGGAGGGGCTCCAGGCTGGTGGGTTTGAACCTGTGGGGCTACTGGGCGGGGGCTGCTGGGAGGCCCTGGCTCACATTGCAGTGAGGGGCAGGAGAGGGGCAGGTGCAGTCACTGAGCTTTGCAGTCTTCAGGGGAATTCCAGGATCTCAGGGAGGTGTCTGCGCAGGTGACGTTCTCTCAACCGGAATCTTGCATCTGTCTTATGTGGTGTGCTCTTTCTTCTTTGGAGGGAAGTGGTTTCACCTTTTCAAAATGAGGGAATGAAGCTGGAGCGTGGCTTAGTGGCACAGCATACATTAGGTCCTTGCGTGTGTCCCCAGCAAGCTGGGTGTGGTGTGTAGTGTATGACAGTAGTTCAAGCATTTTAGAAGCTGATGCTGGAGAATGGCCATGAGTTCAAGGCAAGCCTGGGCTACATAATGAGTTTGAGTCTGCCCAGGACTTCAGAGTAAGACATGAGTCTTAAAGAAATAACACACATACACACACACACACACACACACACACACACACACACCGCTTTCCATTTTATTTTTGTTTCATATGTGTGTCTCTGTACCACATGTGTGTGCAGTGCCCACAGAGGCCAGAAGAGGGCATTGGGTCCCCTGGAACTAGGCTGTTTATGGACTGTTGAAAGCTGCCATGGCTGCTAGGACTTAAACCCAGGTCCCTTGGAAGAGTAGCCATGGAGGCAGTGTCTCTCTTGCCCACAAACGAATTTTTTTTTTTATTTGTTTTTGTTTGTATTGAGTCAATCAGTGTCTCCCTAGGCCTGGAACACCATATGCGGACCAGGCTGGCCTTGAACTCACAAGATATCCTCCTGGGTGCCACTCAAACCAGTTTTTTTTGGGAGGGGAAAGAAACACGATGAAGGGAAGTACTTGGAGACTGTTGTCCCACTTCAGTGCTTTCATTTGGAGTGGCACTGTGGTTGATTAGGGACTGAGGACCTGACAGTGGGCGGGGCCAGAGGTGTTTATACTCCGCACTTGCCCGGGAACTTACCTGGCCACGTGTAGTCATTTTCTCGTGCAGATAGGGAGGTGGAGGCCCACAGTGCCAAAGTAGAGGTGGAATCTTGGTCTTCCTGTCATGGGCCTTACGGTTCCAGTGTGAGGGGCCCTGGTCTGGCAAGGCAGGCGGCTTTGGGGGGGACAGCAGGGACCCACTGCCAACGGACAGCCCGTCGTCCTTGCAGGAGCACCAGACTGTGGTCTACCAGATGATCCAGCAGATTCAGCAGAAACGGGAGCTTCAGCGGCTGCAGATGGCTGGGGGCTCCCAGCTGCCCATGGCCAGTCTGCTGGCTGGAAGCTCCACCCCGCTGCTGTCCGCGGCGGCAGCGGCAGGCACCCCTGGCCTGCTGCCCACAGCATCGGCCCCACCCCTGCTGCCTGCTGGAGCCCTGGTGGCCCCTTCCCTCGGCAGCAATACAAGTCTCATGGCTGCAGCAGCTGCGGCCGCAGCAGTAGCAGCAGCAGGCGGACCCCCAGTCCTCACTGCCCAGACCAACCCCTTTCTCAGCCTGCCTGGGGCAGATGCCAGTGGGAGCGGCCCCAAAGGAGGGGTGAGTAAGGGGCCCGGGCCTTCCTGGATCCCTGTATCTCAGGGACAAGCAGAGGATGGCTACAGTGATGTCACCTGATACAGCCGAGGTGGGAGGCAGCAACCCTAGGTCAGCCAGATAGGGTTCCCTTCTTCAGAGTCAAGAAGGCCCCTCTGAGCAGGGACCAGCCTTCTTAGAGAAAACAGCCTTCCAGCGTGGTGAGGTGGCTCAGCGTGTAAAGAAAGGTGCTTGCCACCCAGCCCAATGACCTGAGTTTGATCTCAGGGGCTCACGTAGTGGAGGGAGAGACCTGATTCCAGAAATCTGTCCTGCTGTCCACACACGCATGTACACACATGCACATGCACACAGTGTAATTTTTTTGTTTTCTTTTGTTTTAAATTCCTTTTTAAAAAGAAATCAGCCTTCCGGTGGAAGGAGTAATTAGAAAAGGCCGTTTTCCTTTCTGTATAGCAGTTAGGAAAGATGAGCCTCTGGGCCATCACAGAAAGATGGGCCAACACAGAAGAAAAGGCCTCTCTCTTCCTTGGAGGACTAGCCTGAGCCCAAGAAGCCAGCTTTGGGCACAAGCTAGGCATTTCCTCACTCCACACACTGCAGGCTAGGCTGAGGCCTGGCTGTCTCCTACTGCTCCTACAGCAGCCTCTTCCGTCCTTGGGAGCTGTTCCTAACTGGGATTTAGGACCAGATGCCTCCAACACTCAAAAGCCTCCCTTCCTGTCTTTCCAGACCGCTGACAAAGGAGCCTCAGCCAGCCAGGAAAAAGGCTAACTCCATCCACTCTGCCCCTCCTGACCCCTACGCGGCTTGAGGGTCCTTGTCCAGAATGGGTTCCCAGGCCCAGACTCTGGAGAGCCAGGCCCAGAGCCTGTGCTGATGCCCAGGGAGTGTGTGCTGGAGTTCCAGGTGCTGTGGGGAGAGACTGGAGGGGCCTTCCCTTCCACCTGCCCGTTCCCTACTGCGCTGGCTGCTTCAGGAGAGAGGGTCAGGGGGAGCAGGCTCCGGGCCTGCCTCGGAGCCCCCATCCTCCACAGATGCCTAGGGGCCCCCCAAAGAGCAAAGTAGGTCATGGCATAGGACGTGGAGCGTTGGTTGGACCTACCGCATAAACCAGTGAGCACTTGAAAGGGGAAGGTGAAGGGTGGGCCCTTGGGCCCGCTCCTGGTGTGGAAATCCTCACGGAAAAAGGGCTGGTCCCAGTCGACCTTCAGTTTCTTCCCAGCAGAAGGTGTATCCCTTTGACTGTTTCTCATCATCCCTCCCCACTGAGGGTCACAAGCTGAGCTTGGAAAAGCCTACAGATGTGGGGGGCTGAGGAAGGGCAGGATAGCACCTCTGGGGGCCCCTGATGGGGCTGGGCGGGGCAGAGTCCCTCGCTGTCCTTGGTGTCCTGCCCCTTTTTGCACTATTGGCTTGAGGAGTTGCCGAGGGTGGGAGAGGGAGCTGCCTGACTCCACGGAGCGTGAGCGTGAGCGTGTGTGTGTGAGCGTGAGCGTATGTGAGTGTGTGTGTGAGTGTGTGTGTGTGTGTGTGTGTGTTGGTCAGTCTGTTTAACCTGTCTGTCTGTCACCTCATTCTCTGGACCTGGGGCAGCCATGGGCAAGGACAGGAGCAGGGGCTGGCACCAGACCCGGAGTTTCCTAGCTCTTGTGGCCCCTCCCAACCCCCTCACCCACCCTGGTCCTTTTCCAGGGCATGAATGGTTAACTTTTAAAGGAAACAGAACAGTACTCCAGTATTGGAGAATTCCTGGGGGCTGGGGGCTCAGTATCAGGGTAATATCCTACCTTCCCTCCTCTGGACCCCATTCCATCTCAGGGCCCCCCGGGGCCTCCTCCCCCCACTGGTAGTTTGGTCTTTCCTGGCACACGAGAGCGGGGGAGGGGCGAGGTGCCACCTCGAAGCGCGTCTCCCTCTCGGAAGTCGCTAGCCTGCCTCTTAAGCCCACTTCACCGGCTCGTAGAGCCACTTAAGCTAACAAATGTCCCTTTCACCCACCAGCTATTTCCAGGGTGTAGTAGTAGGTGGCAGAGTCAGTCTGCCCAGGGCCGTTGTGAAAAAACATGGAGTGGGACATGGGAGCGCAGCCGGGGAGGCCTCTGTCCCTTTTGGTTGCACTGGCTGGGACTGAGGGTCCATTCCAGTCCCCTAACGTTCCTGTCTGTGGGCCTCTTTGCATGTGTGCATTTTGGTGTGTTTCTGTTTGGGTTTTGTTATTGGGTTTTTTTTTTGTTTTGTTTTGTTTTTTTTTTTAATAAAAAAAAAAGATGTGTATATTTTTGGCAATGACAGAAACGTAGTGCAGATATATTTTTGCCTGTGCTGCTCAACTGTTTTTTTTCTGATATGGAAAATAATATTAATATTCCTGTTGATAAGACTTCGTAAGATATTAGGGTGGGTTGGGAACCTTCAGAGGCAGATTCTTTGGCACTAGGAACGATTTTGGGGGGGCATTTGTGTGACCTCAGAAATACTTTTCTAACTGCTTAGTATAGAAGGACATTTTCATCTTTGTGGCTCTCACTTCTTATCCAAAAGCCAGTGAGTCTTCAGATTCTTAGACGATTTGCTTATCCAGGCCCACACCGCTGCCCCAGCCACCATTCAGAACCAAGTGGCCACTGCTGCGATGTCTGGAAAGCCATCACATGTGAAGCAGGAGCGCTAGGTGCCCTGGACCAGATGCCCCCTCTCTTCAGTCACTCAGATCTTTGGAACTCTAGTCTCAACTTTCCAGAGCTTTTTTTCCAACTTGGGGCCAGGATGCCCTGGCAGGTAGTCAGGTTAGATTTGCAGAGAGCTCTGGGCCTTGCATGGATTGGTGCTGCTCTTTTTTAGTTTTTCAAAACAAGGTTTCTCTGTGTAGCCCTGGTTGTCTGTCCTGGAACTCACTATAGACCAGGCTGGCCTCGAACTCAGAGATCTGCGTGCCTCTGCCTCCTGAGTGCTGGGATTAAAGGCCGCCACCGCCAGCGCTTGGTGGTGTTTCTCCTTGTGCTGAGGAACAAGGGAAGTTGTGACACTCTTGGCGTGGCTCACAGGGAAACTTTCGATGACCGTTGAGAGGGAGCAGAGGCCTGCAGGATGGCCACAATGACCTCACATCTTCCAGCCTTGGTCGTCTTTTTTTTTTTTTCTTCTTCCTGAAACAAGGTCTACTCTATTATGTAGCTCTGGCTATCCTGGAACTCACTCTGTAGACCGGGCTGGCCTCAAACTCACAGAAATCCACCGGCCTCTGCCTCCTATGTGCTAGGATTAAAGGTGTGTGCCATCATGTCTGGCTTTGGTCCATTTCTTGATAAAGAGCTTTGGTGGGGTGAGGGGAAGGATGCAGATTTGGAGCCATCTCTGTCTGGGGGAGGGGGAGGATGTGGTTTGCAGAGCGGAAGTGGAGTTTGAGAATGCATGAGTGGATCTTAATGTCACCACCCTCAGTGAGAAGAGATGAGTGAGTAATGCGTGCGTGCTGAGTCTGTGTCCACCAGGGGGGTCATGGCTAGTGGGTATCAGTACTAAAAGGGACTCAGCTGTATTTAGGGGTCATTGGAGCTGGCTTTCCAGGTGACTGCTCTAAGCCTAGGAGGGACAGGTCCTCAGTGACAGCAGTGTTAAGCCTCACCTGGCCTGGTCATTCCTATCCCATCGTCCAGCCTCTAAGCTGCAGCTGGTTGGCAGGCAGGCTGTCCCTGTGTGTGTGGTGTGTGTGTGTGATGGTGTGGTTGTGAGTGTAGGGTTGTGCCCATGGTGGGAAGGTATCTATGTAGCACTGACTGTCTTAGCTCTGAGCTGATGAATCCTCTCCATAGACAATGACACTTTAAGGGTTGCCTTTAAGAAAAAAAAAAAAAAAAGAATAAATTGTTATCTCCCTATCCCCTCTCCCTCATCCCAGCTTATGGGTTTCCCCTCAGGCTCCTGGGTCAACTGCTGCCGCTGGGTAGGTACCCTGATCTTGAGGCTGGTGACCCTTTCCCTTTCCTGTGTTGAGACCCAGGGAGTGCCCACCCTAGACTCCTAGGAAGGGCCTGGACAAGTGAGGGGAGCCCAAAGAAAGGCTAACATTTCCATTTCCCTTCCCCAAACTGGCAATGCTGACAGGTTTTCAAAGACACAGGTTCCCCACTGCTTTCCATCTTAAGAGTGCAGTGGGTCCAAGGGAGTAACAGGCAGCTGGTTCCTGGGAAGAGGTGCCCAATAGGATGGAGGTAACTTCACCCGGATCTTGGAGGAAGACTGGGCCAGGGAACCCTTCGGGTCCCTCTAGCTACTTCCTCCTGGATTGCGGGTGTGTGAAAATTTCCACCAGGCCACCTTGTCTGACCTACTGAAGAGCTGGGGCCTGAGGGCTGCCCCCATTCTCCTGTGTTCACTTTCTCCAGCCCCACTTGGGACTGAAGACCGAACCCTGGCTCCCTTCCTTCCATCCCAGCCTGTTTCCATGTAGCAGACCCTTCCTAGGGGAGCAAGGAAGGGAGCCACAGATTGCAAACCCAGGGCCTCATTTTTCATTCTTTCTGAAACCTTGATATCCTCAGCCCAAGAGGCAGTGTTCCCTTGCGACCTCCAAGCCTGGAATTGTGCATAGCCTGGGTCTTGTATCTTTGTATAACGGATGTTATTTGTACGAAGGGCAGTTCGTAAACAGCACTTGTTCTTTTAATAAAAGAATGTTTTACTTAAAAAAAAAAAAATGGAAATCCAAAGAGACCTTGCTTTGTCTGGCTTCACTGAAGGGAGGGAGATGGGCTGCCAACTATGGGGGCCTGTGGGAGGAGGACGGGATATGTATGGTCAGTGACCCTTTTTTCAAGTACTTGGAGGAGCAGTTTAAACCGGAAGTCACAGAATATGCGGTGCAGGTGAAGATGCGGACGCCGGAGCCCTGCTGGCTCATCGATCCCCACCCTGCGTGCGCTTTTGAACACACTCACTGCCTTGGACTCCGGAGGGCCAGGGCGGCACCTGCCGGCTCCAGGGCTGCTCTGCCTGCCCCTCCTGCGCCGGGCCGGGCCGGGCGGCGTCTTCCGGGAGGGGGAAGGGGGGCGGAGCGGAGAGGGTGGCGACCCGGGCGCGGCCATGCGCAGAGCGGCCGTGCGCGGCGTGGGGACGAGCCTGCACGTTGTGGTCATGCGCGGAGCCTCGGTGAGCGTCCTCTCTCTGGTGACCCCGGGCCGTTCGGCCCCGCCTCCCCCGGCCGGGGCCAGACTCCGCCCCTCGGCCCTGCGTCCCCTCGGGGCAGTGCTTTTTCCTGTGGGAGCATCGAGTGGATGCCAAGACCTGCCTCTGCTGCGACCCTTTTCCCAACCCTTTTGTCGCTCCCACGACCCCTTAGCCTGTGGTCTTTTCCTTCCCAGATGGGCTTCCGGCGTCCTCCTTTCTCCCCTGATTTTATTTTTCTATTTCCAAATCACATCTGCCGGCCTGCCTTGTGGAAGCTGTGCCAGAGGCGGGAAATCTCCTCTTGGCTGGTGAGTACACCAAATGCCGCCTTCTCTCAGCACACAAGTCCCATCACTCCCCCTGATTTCAGGGCTACATCGAAGACAGCGACAGGGGACACCCCTGCCCCCAGCAGGCTCTAGGAAAAGTTTTTTTGGGGGCAGAAGGCAGAGGGCAAGGAGCCAGGCTTCTGAGCGGAGGCGAGGACAGCCACTTGATGAGAAAGTAGCAGGGATCATGCAAACTTACAGAACTTCCAAGGCTTGGGATGACCCCGAGCCTCTTCTCTTCTCTGGCCATAGGCCCGATGGTTCCCCAAAGACCCAGCCAAGCCCGTGGTGGCACAGAAAACACCTATCAGGTTGGAGCTTGTTGCCGGGAAAACCTACAGATGGTGTGTATGTGGCCGAAGCAAGAAGCAAGTAAGTCATTCCTGTGGTCTTTCACTTAGACGCGACACAGTTCTAGTCCTACCACCCTGAACAAGCCTGACCTCAGAAGCTAAGCAGGGTTAAAACTGGTTAGTGCTTGGATGGGAGATGCGACCCACACACCTACCTGGGGTCAGCATGGTCCATCCCGGGGAACTTTCAGCCCATCCATATTTCCTTTCTTTCTGTTTATACCCGAGATACAGTGTGGGGGCTTGGTAGCAGAAGACCAGCTCATAGCATCCATCACGTCCCTTCCAGGAAGATGGCCCTTCAGTAACGGCCAGTGCTGTAACTGGCTTCTCCTTGCAGTCACGCCTCCCTCCGCACCCCTGTTCTCCAGCTCCTGGGCACCAAGGACTTGTCTTTCTCCCTCCTCCGCGTAGGCAGGTATCTCTGCCCATGTGCCAGGCTTTGGACCTCACAGCTGGGAAGATTCTGCCCCGTCTTCCCCAGTGTCCCTCCCTAGGTCTTGTCATGCCCTTCTCCCCTTGGATGTGACTTCTGTTTGCTGGTGCCTTTTAATGCCATCCTGCATTGTGGCAGGAGCCTCTCTCTCTCTGGAGAACTCTGCACTGTTCTCCATGCTGTGTGACTGGTATGAGAAACCCAGATCCCAAGGCCTACTTTACCGTAGATTTGTGGTGTGGCCTTTGAACAGATATTCCAGAGGGTGGGGCAGTTTCAAGGGCATGCCAGCCGGAGGACTGGGGTGGGGCAGGTGCCATGCCCTTTAGGCAGGGTGCTGGTCTGTCTCCTCCATTTCTGCCCCTAACAAAGCCTCCCCCCTCTTTGGACCTCAGTCTTCATCATCTGGCTTTGAAGGGGTCTTGGGAGGGACATGGTACACACATTAGTAATGCTACTCCAGGCCGGCAGGTTGTCACAGACACACACACACACCCTTGCTGTTGTTTTCTGGACCCAAGCAAGGCTGACCCCACTCTGGAAAGGCACTGGGCTGCTGGGCGCTCTCTCACCCTGGTGACCAGTGAGAAGAATGTCACTTTCATGAGTCAGTGGGGGTTCACTCAGCCATTAACAAAACAAAACTGAATGTTTGTCTGTTGTACACAGAAGCCCTGGAGTCTATCTCCAGCACGGAATAAACGGTGTTGTTGGGGTCCACAGAGGTTTCTAGTGAGATCTGAGCTTGCTTTACACACAGGGCTGCATTAGGGGGTGGCTGGACCACATACATGGTCGTCAGGCGTTTGGAAGCATCTGTACTGGGCTGTGCTGGGGGGAGGTCTTTTGCTCCACCCCTTGGCATTCCTTTAAAAGCCCCTTTGAAGAGACAGAAGGGGTCGGTGGGTGTTGACCCAGGCCCTCCCAAGGCTATCCTGTGTTTCTGTCTCTCCCTCCATAGTCTAAGTATTTCTCCCTTCTCTCTCAAGGGTACCCTGGGGTAAAAGTGGGAGCAGGTCTCCCATAGGGTGTGACGACACACACCTGCAGTCCTAGCACTTGGAAGGCAGAGGCAGGAGGATAGGAGTTCAAAGGTCATCTTCAGGCAATATAGCCTGTTCCAGGTAGGCCTACATTACATGAGAACTTATCTAAAAACAAAAGAATGGGGCTGCTAATGCTCAGTGGCTAAAGACACTTGTCACACCACCTTGCTGACTTGTGTGACCCCCCAGACAGGGTAGAAGGATAAAACCAACCCCCCACACACAGCTGCTCTATGACTTCTGTGAGTGCACAAGCCCATACCCGCGCACACACACGCGCGCTCGTGTGTGCACACACACACACACACCAAATTTTAAAAATGTAAGAGACAACAAAAAAACTCCAACCTTGTTTGTATTAACATTGCCTCTCACTGAGGCCCAGTTAGTTCCCTTGGCAAGCTGTCCTGGCCTTCTGGGTTTCCCAAAAGTGAACAATGAGGAATACTTGTAATAACTGCACAGTGACCATTATTTCCTCATGCAGCCTTGCCGTGACCCCCAGGTGCAGGGCTAACTGTGGTCAACTCTCCTCCCACCCCACCCCTCTTCTTTTTCTCCCATCAGCCCTTCTGCGACGGCTCCCACTTCTTCCAGCACACTGGCCTTTGGCCACTCAAGTTCAAGGCCCAAGAGACCCGCACAGTGGCCCTATGTACCTGCAAGGCCACCCAGCGCCCTCCTTACTGTGACGGTACCCACAAGAGTGAGCAGGTACAGAAGGCGGAAGTGGGCACCCCACTCTGAGGAGTACTGTGGCTCCCCGCCTCCCGCAGCCTTCCCCTCTGTGAAGCCAACAGTGCCGCAGAAGGGAACATCCAAAGACCAAGTCGTTAGCAACTATTCCCTGAAAAACCTGCAACCTCCTGTTGTGCAGTTGAGAGCAGGACCCTGGTCCCACACCTGGCAAACTGTCATTAAACATTGCGACCCAGCCTCTGAGTGTCCCTGTGGTCACTGGCAAGGCTCACAGTGCCTCCAGCTAGAGTTGGATCTGTGGAGGCAGAGGGTATCCGGTGGCCGAAGTGGAGCAGTTCAGATCCGCTCCAGTCGGCTTGGTAGGGCTAGGGAGCACCCCCCCCCGCCCCCCCAAGAATGACAGGGCTCAAGAGAGTATGCAGCATTTATTACAAAACCAAGAGATAACAAATGACCAGGACAGGAGGGTACAGTCACAGGACCTCAGACTCAGGACATGGTGCAAACAGACCCATGGGCTCAGGACCTCACATACCTGAGCCAATACCCTGGTTCTCCCCCTCCCCCTGCCCCCGCCCCCCCCATCCATCTATGTACACTTGAGGAAAACCAGGTAGGCAAGGTCTGCCCCTAATAGGTGGTCCACTAGGTAGAGTCGGGGTTAGCTTACACTTTATTTTCTTGTGCTTCTGCATGCCTGTGCCTGTCCCTGCTCGGCCTCAGCTAGGGTTGGGGAAACAGACTGGAGAGCTGTTGGCCTTGGGCAGAACTGGAGTCTGTGCTTGTCCGGGCTTACCCGTCCTAACCCTCCACTCTAGGCCCCCAGTGAGTGTCACCTCCATCTTGCTAGTATGGGTTCCTGGGTCAGGGTAGGGCAGGAGGAAAGTCACACATAGACTTGGCAGGGCCGGGGTCTCCCCGTAGCCTGAATCTTCTCTTCCACAAAGGTAAATGATGCAAAGGCCACACACAGAAAAGAAGAAAAAAAGGAGGTGGGGGGGGCAATATAAAAAAAGGTAGAACTATCCATTCTTTGCACAAGGTTCCCGCTGTCCAAAGAGGTGAGGGAGATGCTTTCTCCACGGCCACTCGACCCTCACAGGCAGGGGACAAACCACACTTGTCAAAGGCACTGTCTTAGCAATCTCGGGACATTCAACACGGGGGGCTTAGAGATGGGTGGGGTGGGGAACAGTGGAAACAAACCCCATATCTGGTCAGCTGGGAGACCCACCATGCCCTCTGTCTGCCCTGGGAAGCAGAAGGAACACAGGAGAAGGCCTTAATACTTCCAACGGCCTCCTAAGACCACCAGGTAATCCCCCCAGAAGAGCAGAGCAAACTACAGAAGACCCCCTAGACGCAAACACTTACACACACACACACACACACACACACACACACACACACACACACACACACACACACACACACAGTTTGTTTCCTGTGACATTTAAATTAATCTGGTTGGTCCATAGAAAATAAGTATGTATATTTGGTTTTTCCTATGTACATATATATATATTTATATATATAGATAGATTTATTTATAAAACCCACCTCCCACTCTGAAGATGGGAGGAACCAGGGAAAGTCGAAGGTGGAAAAAGGGGCCCAGAAAAAGTAGAAGGCAGGGGAGAGGTGGCTGCTGAGGGAGAGGGTCCCTTTCCTCAAGTTAAGGGGGGCAAGGAGCTCCGTTAACAGTCATCTTGCGCCCCCTGCTGGTGGAGGATGGCGTCTGCAGGCAGTTCGAAGTGCCCCCGTTGGTAGCAGTGGCGGCCCCACTGGCAGTCGAAGGTGGAGTGGGGGAGGTAGGGTGGGTGGCCGGGGGGCCGTGGGAGCTGGGAGAGCCATGGGAGGGGGTCGCAGGGCTGGGCAAGGAGGAGGAGGTGGCCGGAAGGGTGGCGGGGCTGGGGGCCTTGTCGCTGACCGACTCACACTCTGATGCCCCGCTGGTGTTGGTGCCCTCTGAAGGCGTGGGCACCGTGGGCAGGGTGAGCCGCTTGCAGGCTGGCTGGACTCGGTACTTCAGGGGGAGCGGTCCATTCTGCGGTGGAAGGGAAGAGGCCAGCGATAAGAAAAGAGGAAGTGTCAGCAGAAAGACCCACCAGGGGCCACCCCATCCCTGCACCCAACCCAGACCCAACCAGGAGCAAAGGGGGGGTCTGAGCCTTGAAGAGGAGAGGGCCCGCAGAGGGGAGAGTCGGACAAGCCCAACAGCCAGATACAGAGACACAGAGCCAGTGAAGAAAGGGTGTAAGAGACGGAGGCGGCAGGGGTCGGGAGTGAGGGTGGGCTGTGAGAACCACAGGATGCAGAGGGCATCACACACCACAGTGGCCACCCTTACTGCTGGCCCCCGTCTGGGTGGTAACAGCCAGGGGAGGGCATCAGCAAGAGATATGTGGTAGGTATGCCAGTCATCTCAGCCTTCAGGGGGCTGAGGCAGGAGGATTGCTGTGAATTCAAGGCCAGCCTGGACCTCATACCAAGTTTGAGGCCGGCCAGGGAGAGACCCTATGTCAAAACAAACAAACAAAAAAAAAACCAAATGGCCTAGAGCTGACCTGGTATGATGAGCCACCCAGGCCTGGCTCCAGAGACAAGGGATGAACTGCGTGACCTAAGAGGGTGTCTCCTGTCACTGTGGCCACGGACCATGCCAGGCCCAGTGGGACGCTCCTTCCTGGGACTGCCCCCACCTTGTACCACCAGCTCACAGGCTCACCCTCCGCCAGGGGTAGATGTAGGCTATGTCCATGAGGGTGTAATATTCCTTCAGGGGCTCATCTTCATAGAGGATCTCCACCTGGAAGGAAGGAAGGAAGGACTTCAGGAGGCCGCAGTTGTACCCCTGATGGCCAGGGCTGCGAGTCTTGGAGGCTGGATGGGAGTGAATGAAAGATGGATTGCCGGAGACCCCTCCCTACTGTAGATGTGACTTCCCTTGTGGAACTGTCCCAAGTCCCCCAACCTGCTGATGGGGAGGGGCTCTGGAGAGCCAGCAAGGTCAAGGGGACCCCGTGACCCAGGCCCCTTAGGGAACCGCAGGAGCAGCTTGGATAGGATCATCCCTGCCTCTGACCTCACCGGTGAACGGAACAGTGCCTACCGTCTCCCGACCCCAAGTGTGGGCGCAGTGAGGCCTCTGCAGGAGCAGCGTCTAGGAGCTTGTCAAAGACGCACGCACGGTCACCGAATCAGACCCACGCGGGATCCTGTGTTGCCGTGTATAACAGGGTTGGCCAGTCTGTGTCCTAGAGTCCCTGGCCCTCTTGAAGGCCTGACATTTTTTACACACACGCCTCCCTGGTCTCGGGCCTTCTGCACACCAACTACAATTACAGACCGTCTTGTCCTAAACAGTTGGGCTAGCCTGCCTGTTCCTGCCGGTCCAGCTAGAGAACTACGTGATGCGCGTCAACCACACTGACGGGCCCCTGACATCTGAGATGGCGCAGGCGTTCACCTTGTACTTGCTGGGTACGTCCATCTTGTTGCGGAGGAACTTTGCGAGGTGCATGACGGTCATGGCTGCTGGACACCGCAGGAAACGCACCCCTGTCTGTGGGGGGAGAGGTCCCAGTGAGAAGGTCTATCCCGTGGCCCTCTCAGCTCACTCCTGGGAAGGCCCCAACACTCACCTTCTCCTTGTCCCCATCCCCATTCTCCACGAGGCTCTTCTTCTCCTCTCGGTCCCTGGAGGAGACAGAAGCGAAAGACGGAGGAGTTGCTGGACCAAATCGGATGGGGGTCTCGGAGGATGAGCCAGGGTGGAAAAACGGCTAGGGTTGAACTTGCCTGACTCCTTCGTAGAACTCAATGGACAGACTGACAATCTCATCGTCGCCCAGAGCCCCCTTCTCCTGCTCTAGGACCTCGCCGCGGTCCTCGTTGGAGCCATTGGGGACTGTAGAAGGAGACAGCTCAGAGGGGTTGGTCAGAGAGAGAGCAAGGGGCTGAGGACCTAGGGAATGGGAGCGGGTGGCTCAGAGGCTGAGCTCACCCCCTCTGCATAACACCCTCTGGGGGCGGGGGTGGGGTGGGGGCAGCCCTAGGTGAAGACACTCACCCTCCGTCAGGGGGTACGCCGCATAGAAGTCCCGCCGCCGTTTCATCTCATCTAAAGGAAGGAGGCAGGCGTGAGCGGACAGCCGTTGGGAAATGGGGGAGGCTAGCTGGGCAGCACAGGCAGGGAGGGGCTTGTGATACCTTTAAAAAGCCCAGGCACCAACTTGTAGACAATGTCCTGGAGGGTTTTGTCTGACCTGGGGAAAGAATGGTACACAGACGTTAGCAGCGACAGATCGTACCTTCGTCTCTCCAGCCAGGGATCAGCTTGACAGCCCTTATCCACAGCCAGCAGCCAGGCATGCGGGTTCTGGTATTCCCTAGCCTATCCACAGCCAGCAGCCAGGCATGCGGGTTCTGGTATTCCCTAGCCTACGTCAAGCCGGAAGCCACCGGGAGGCAGGGTAAGGACACAAGCCCACCTGATGCTCAGCAGCGGCCGGGTTTTATGGACCTGGACGTCACACATGGGGCAGTATTTGTTGGTCTCCAAGTAGCGCACGATGCAGGTTTTGCAGACTTGGGGTGCGGACGGAGAGAGGACAGTCAGAACCCCTTCTGCCCAGGCCTTCCCTTCCCACCTTGACCCAGTGGCTCAGGACTGCTCGCATGGCACGGTGCATGCACATCTGGCCTGCTGCGCCTTGTCCACCCTTAGGACCCGTGTCTCTGTGTGAGGCAGGATGGTGTCCGGCCTCACAAAGTGTACCAAGTCCCAGGCGCCTCTGAGCCAGTCTGGTAAGACATCCCACCAGTCCTGGATCTCTTGGCACCAATCCGACAGCGCAGATGAGTGACCCCCAAGTCTTCAGGGGGCAAACCAGCCAGAGATACCAGGGAAAGTGGAGGTTTCTGATGCTGCCCCTGGGATGAACGTCTGGGCCCAGGACTACCCCCACCTTGTCCCTTCTTAGCACTTTCTCAGTGACCCAGCGTCTGCTCTCCAGGGCAGCAAGGGCTGTGTTCCAGTTTCCCCAAGCTGGGCACCCCCGTACCCAACTCACAGGAATGCAAGCACTCCACAATGGTGGTGGCGTCGATGAAATAACCCCCACAGAGGGCACACATGAGGTGAGGATTCAGCTCCGTGATTTTAATCCGTGTGGTCCGATGCATGGTGCCGGGGGTGAGGACGGAGGAGACTTGGGAAGTGTCACCCTGGGAAACAGAAATGGGATCAGAAACCCAGCCACCCTAAGCCACTTCCCCACACTGCTTCAATCGACAGCTTTCCTGAGCCGACGCCCCCCACAACCCCCTTGTTTTTCTGTCTCAGATGTGGAACCAGGCACACGTCTGAGGCTGGCTGTCTCTGGGCCTCCCTCTAAGTGTTCACTGGGTGTTGGGGGCTCAGGAGGTTTCTCCCACTTTGACAAACAAGGTCGTGGACCATCTCAGAAGCAGCAAGAAGGACTGAAGTCAGACCATAAGAAACACTAACCAACTCTTGAAGATGGATGTGGGAGGGCAAGAAAATGGAAGATCTTCCTGGGGGCTGGGTGGCACGCCTTTAATCCCAGCACTCGGGAGGCAGAGGCAGGCGGGTCTCTGTGAGTTTGAAGCCAGCCTGGTCTACAGAGAGAGTTCCAGGACAGGCTCCAAAAGCTACACAGAGAAACCCTGACTTGAAACTTCCCCCACCCCCTAGAAAAGATCTTCCTGGGACACATGGCCTGTGAGAGGGCTCACCATACCTGGTGCTTGCAGCCAAGCCTAGTGACCCACACGATGGAAAGAGAGAAAAAAACCCAAATAGCTGCAAGTTGTCCTTTACACACACACACACACACACACACACACACACACACTCTAAACGTAAGAAAAATTTTTAACAATATTCCTGATTCCAACCCACATCCATTCAAGTCATCAAATTTATTTACCAAGTACTAACAGCTATGAGAAATGGTCCAGACAACTCAATTCACAGACCAAAATGAAGAATAAATTACCGCTGCTCCATCAATGAGAGATTCATCATGGGGAAGCCTTCTTGAGAGGTACGAGGACACAGGCCTATCGCTTGTCCTTTTGGCTGGGTCCCTCTTAGTCCTCAGAACACTCCCCTCCTCTAGCGTCCCTGGACACATACAGCTCCTTGCATGTCTCCCTGCGCTGACCCTTTGGCCTTCCGGCTGAGAACCCTAAGGCTGGTTTTCATTATGTTCCATGTTATGAAGAAGCTGTAGGCCCAGCCTGGCACTGGATTCTACAGGTAGTGTAAGAGCCTGGCAAAAAGACCTTTACTGCACTGTGGTGAGAACATGCCATTGGGCCCCCCCACCCCAAAGCACACTAAGTGCTCTCCAGTGTGCGCATTGGTCCAGGAACCCACTTTCATGAACACACAGAATGGCTTCACGTGCCACTGGGATCTCACCTCACCCCAACCTGGTGACTTCTGCCACCTGTGTTCACAGGCTCCTCCAGACCCCTGCCACCACTGGGCAGAGAGCGTGCTCTGCCCCCAGCTCTCCAATGCACCATGCCAGACCCTAGCAGGCCAAGGTCATTTCAAAGCTGACTCTGGCTCTGGACTGGAGGAGGCCTGCCTCTTTCCTTCTCTCCCAGAGCGAAAGCCCAGGAGCTGGGCCTGAGAGGCTGGCCAAGCCCAACCGCGCCTTTACAACATACAACCTCCTTTCTTTTCCAGAAAGATTTCTAAAGCCACCACACTGGCTTTTCTAGGACAAGAAATTCACAGCCAGGATCAGCAGTTTCTATAGAGACCCCAGGATGAGCCTGGCCAGGACCCAAACAGCCAATAAGGCCCCAGGGCACCTGGCCAGAGACTGGGATGGATGGAGAGACACAAAGGCCACACTTGGGACAGACACCGAGTTGCAGAAAAGAAAGAGCGAGCAAGGCGGCCAGAGGCACCCACCCCTGGCCCGCAAACCTGGCCTGCAGAGTTCCTGCCCCTATAGGTGGCCCTAGCTGGTCCTCCCTGCATGGGTCCCCCTTCACAATTTCAAAGAGGCTGCTGGCTACTCTACTGTTTAGTTGTTTCCATGGTAACATAGTCCCTGGCAAGCAGCCCAAATATTATTACAACCATCCAGAGGATAGAACAGACTCCGAGTGGCTGTCTCTTTGAGCGTGGGTAATAGCTACCGTGTGGGGACGTGCTGTCTGGGCTTCCAAAGGTACTTCATGTGACTGCTTGCCTTGTGTGTGTCTGTGTCCGGAGACACACCGAGACAGAAGCAAACTGTATCAGAGTCGGAGCCAGCCAGGGAAGCTAGGCTGCTAGGGTAAGTACCCCCGACACCTGGTACACATATGCAGCGCACACGCGCACGCGCGCGGACAGACACACACACACACACACACACACACACACACACACAAATATATGCGCTCTTCACACTGCCTCAGGCATTTCAGTCACAGGCTCACTTTCTTTCCAAATGGATAGATACCGGTCTCTAAGAAGCCACAGGAGCCCCACTCAGCCCATCAGTTTTGAGGTTTCATACAAGAGCAGCCCCCAGGTCCCTTTCTGGGCTCAGAGTAGTAAGGGAAGGAGATGCCATGGACTGAAAAGCTCCTTGTCTCCCCTGGGAGCAGAGAGCCTCCCTGTTCCCCATCCTCATCCCTAGGGGCCTCAGAAAGCCACCGCTAGCACTGGGGGTGGGGAGAGGCACTGATTGGCTCCCCACCTGATTGCCATGGTTACCTGCAGGGCCCTGTCAGCAGGTGCCAAGAGTATCTGTAAACAGGAGATCCGAGTCCCCAGAGCATCCCCTCCCCATTTCCCTGCCCAGGATCAGGACCTGTGTTCTATCCTCCCCACGCAGGGGGCTGTGGTGCTGGGGGAACAAGAGGGACAAGGAATGGTGGCACCGGATCACTCTGGAGGGGACAGCGGGAAAGGGCCTGGCGAAGAAAAAGCGAAAGACATAGGTCCCAAGAAGCAGAAAAGGGGGCGGAGGCCATTTGGAACTGGTCTCATTGGCGCTGGGGAAGAGGCCAGAACCAACTACATCCCTCCAACCCCCCAACCCCCAGTCTTTATCTGGAGTCTGGATCTGTTCTCCCAGGCCCTAGCTCCTGGCTCCCAGTGGCCCCAGGCAGGAAAGGGGCTTGGTCAGCACCTGCACCCAGTCCCTTGCTCATCTGCATCCAAATCTCTCCCCAGGCTCCCAGCCCCCCCCCCCCCAGACATCTCACATCTCTCCAGAGAACCAGACTTCCTTCTCTCCTGCAGGTGCTGCTGGCCTCTGACAACACAGAGAGGGTCCTGCTGCTCCTGGGGACACCAGCCACAAAATCATCAAATCAAGCCCCAGGCCCTGAGAGGTCATTCAAGGTCACACCCTAGCCTTTGACTAGCAGAGGTCGATGTGATCTTTGAAGGCATGTTATGCAGGCTCCTCATTTTACAGATGAAAAGCTCAGGTGTGACTTGTCCAAGGTCACACAGAGAAACAGGGGCAATGCTGGGACAAGTATCTGCCTGCCTCCTGTTCTAATGCTTTTCATATGCTGGCGCCCAGTAGCTGCTCCTTACTCAGCTGAAGCGCTGAGCCAGTGGGTAGAAGGGCAGGAAGCTCATACATGAACCTGCTGAAAGGGAGGCAAAAGCTAATGCCTACAACACTTGCACGTGTAGATGGGGAAACTGAGGCACCATGCAAACAGAGTGAGCCAGGGTCTAGTGTGTAGACATGAATTTCTAGCATTCGTTCCCAGGCCAGCTTCATAGACCCAACTGTGCAAACCTCATGTGTTTACATGTGGGCCAGAGCATTCTGCACAAGGACCCTGTGAATCTCTCATCTCATCTTTTCCTAACCTTTGACACTGGAAAAAGGCTGGAAGCCTCTTCTACCCACCACTCAGCTCCTGAAGATAAAATTAAGAACAAAACAAAACAAACAAAAAACCAAAAACCCAAAGAATATACCCAGGGCAACACTGCATGACACACAGATCCAGAGCCAGACACACCCCCTGCACCTCACATTCACAGCGCCCAGAGCCAGATAAGGGTGGTCACACACAAGACACACAGACACTCGGCCAGACACACACCACCGCATGCACAGCTAGACTGGAGCCAGGCTCCCACTCCACAGATGTAGAAACCATTCCCACCTACCCCATCACATCCTGCCTGAAACCGGAACCACCAAGATTAACCTTCTATGAACCCCTGACCTTCTCAGGGTAAATTATAATTTAAGTCTTCCAGCAACAAAGGCAGCTCGGCGCCCCCAGCACGGCTCTGGGGCCAGAGGCTGGCGGACTACAGTTGACATCTGACCTGTACAATATGTAACCTCTTCCACGTCAGGCTCTCTCCGTTCCCATGGCAACAGCCACATCAACCAGCTCTCAGGGAGTCATCTTCCCTCCTCCCTGCTCACCCCCCAATACTTCAACTTGAACAGAATCAGGCGACAGCCGGACTGGATCGTGGAGTCTGTTTCCTGCTCACATTCTGAACACAGCTCTAAGTGCACAAGCCCCAGCCTTAAACCAGGGGAACCCCTGGGAAAACCTCTCCACCAGAACGCTGCAACAGAGCTGGCTTTATGCTCCTCCGATTACAGTAATAACACCTTGGAGCAGGGATAGGGATGTGTGTCGGCGGGGGTGGGGGATGGGGGGAGTGTTGTCATGAGTTTCAGGAACAGTACAACTGCAAGAAGTCTAGAGCGGGAGGCCCAGGACCGTGAGAGCTGGCTAAGAGAAGCCCCTCCCTCAGCGAGAGGGAGCCCCAGAGAGACCTAGGCAGCCTGGGGATGGCGGGAGCCGGACTGGGGGCTCTGAGAGACAAAAGGCTCTGGGAAAACTCGAGGTAACACCTGTATAGACTTAAACATTTACATTCACACATACACACCCTCCTCCTCGCTCGAGCCAAGCAGAGCAATTTTGGGTAGACCCAGGGAGTGGGGGGAGGGAAAAGAGGGGGCTTGCCTAGACGCCCCTGGGAGATAGGAAGGGCGCGCAGGGTGTCTGCAGGCCAAGGGTTCCCCAGCTTTCGGAGCTGGCGGCGCCACGGCTCAGAGAAGAAAGAGTAGCCGCTTCCATTCGCCCCCCTCCCCCATGGAAAAAGGGCCAGCTCATCAGCCCCCCTGGCCACTACGGGTGAAAGGAGAAAGCATGCTAAGCCTCCCCGCGCGCCCAGCCTACCCCCTCCACCCGTGCTTCCCCCGGAGCCCAGGTCAAAGGATCAGGCACCCCGGTGACCGAGTGGCCACTCCCTCCTTCCCCAGAGCCAAACTTTGGTGGGGCCCCAGGAGGGAGGTAGAGGAAAAGCTCAGCCGAGGTGGTTCGGGGAGGGGGCGGGGCGCCTCGCACCGGGACTGGGGAAAGGGACCTCTGGGGGAGGTGCCCGGGATCCCGGACCCCAGCAGTTAGGGCGCCCTCCCCCGGCCTCGCAGCCGCCAGAAAGCCAAGTCCCCTTCCTCCGGGCCTCAAGTCCTCGCGCGTCCATCACGCTCACTGCCCACGCGAGAGGCGACCCTTGCCCGACTCGAAGGGGGGTGGGGGGCTGATCGGCCAGAGCCCCAGTCTGCTCCGGCTGGTGGGGACACTGGGGTCGAGGGGGGGGGCGACACCCACCCTGGCGTGTGTCCCCAAAGCCCTCGTGGCCGCCCGGACCCTCCCCCTCGATACCTCGCCAGCAGGGTCTTAGCAGGGGGGCTGCTGCACAAAGAGGAGGTGGTCGAGGGAGACGCCAAATCGCTAAGAGGGGGAATCCACTTCGGCCATCTTGGAAGGGAGGAAAGGGAAAAAAAAGAGAGACCGGGAACGGGAGAAAGAAAGGCGGACCGGGCGAGCTTGGACAGTGGCTGGCGGGGCGGGAAGGGGACGCGATCGGCAGGCCAGGCCCGGGGCTCTCGGCTCCCGCTGGGGTCTGCGGGGGGGAAAGGTGGACCGGCCCGGGTCGCCAGCCCCAGACGCTTACGAGGTAGCAAGGGTGCAGGCGCGAGTCGGCGTCCGCTTACCTGGCTTCGGGGTCCGGTGGGTCTCGGGGAGGGGGGGATGGGAGGGAGGGAGGGAAGGGAGGGGAGGGGGGCCACAGCCCTGTCGCTCGCTCGGTCGGCGGGAGGGGAGAAACCTATGGTAAGAAAGGAGTTTGTAAGAGCAGCTTGGGGTGGGAGGGAGAGTGGGGAGGGGAGGGGACGAGAGGGGAGGGGAGGGGCGGGGGGGGGCGACAAAATGGCTTTTTTTCCTCCAGACAAGAGTAGGTCCCGCCCACTACTCACCCACGTGACCTCATTCCTTCAGGATGTTTGCAGAGAGGGAAAGAGGAGGGGGAGAGGCTAGCTCAGCTGCTCCCCCACGGCCGTGCTCTGGGCTTCCCCCAAACCCGAGACCCCCCTCGCATCCAAAAGACCCCTTGAACCCGGAGGAGAGATCCTGTGGTGTTACCTCCAGCCACGACACTTCCTCCTCCTAAATTAAGTGTGCCTCCCCCCCACCCCACCCCCGGCCGACCCTGCGATCCCTACTCTAGCTGGGGAGCTTGGAAAATGGTGAGATGCAGACTGGGCGGAAATGTGTCTCGCAGCACCCGCTGCCTCGCCGCCACCAAAGGGCGCTGGGGCGGGGGACTCGGCGCCGCCGGCCACGCGTCCATGCGAGGTTTACTCACTTCGGCTGACAGTCCCTTGAGATTCCTAAGTGCGTGGGTGACCCGGAGCGTGGGGGACCCCCCTCCCCCCCGGGGGACGCCGCACCTCCCCGGGAGCGCACGGTGGCCGCGGGGCTTGGCTGCGGCCGCGGCTGGCGCGCTCGGCGTGCTCCGGCGGAGAAAGAATGGAACGCAATCCGGGGCGGGGAGAGCAGCCCGAGACACGAATTCGGGCGCCGGGCCAGAGACACAATAACTCGCCGAATTCGCGAGGCCGGGGCGCACTAGGAAGCGAGGAGTCGGGAGAGGACGCGCGCCTTTTCGCCGCCGGTGCGCCTCCCCGGCCGCCTCGGAGGAGCCGGCGAGCGCGAAGGCGGCCGGTGCCAGCCGACTCCGACCGTCACCCTCGGCTCCACCCAGCGCTTGCTCGCGGGTCCCCAGCGGCCCCGGCACCAGGCAGGGGAGGAAGGAGAGCTGGAAGAGACGGCGCCGAGGAAGCGGATCGATTCTGCGTGACCACGAGAACCGTGGGCCTCATTAGGTCGCTCGATTTCGCTTATTCGTTACTTCTGATTTACAGGGGGTGGCCACTGTGCCTTTCCCTCCAAAGAGCTCGATTATCCGGCCTGAAATGCCTTTAAGCGCCAGCACGGTAGGTTGGCTCGAGCAGGGAATGAATCTTTGTGGAGCTTCGGAGCGCCCGTCTCCTCTCCTTGTCCCAAAGCCCAAAGCAGCCCCGAAGTTGGGGCTCCCCGGACTGAGTGCTTTACACACTGGCTGGCTTACCAGGAGCCCTGTGGACGCTGGCCGTCCAGTGACCCCACCAGTTTCAGCCCTCAGCCCGCGCTGGCCGAATGAGGGTGGAGAGGAAGGGCGGGAGAAATTTCCGCCTGGACCGGGTGATCCCAGAGCGAGCGGGAGAGGCCCCGGGAGAATCGGTCACCTGCTTCCCAGTAGCTAGTGTGGGAAGGGGGCTCGAGTTAGACACGCCCACTGTCATCAGGGCCAGTGTGTCTCGGCATCTTGGACGCCGCTCTAGCGAGCACAAGTGCCCAGCACGAAGGGTACCTCCACAGGGACCCCGTCTCTGCCATTCTCTCCCTAGAAGTCCCTGAACAAGAGAAACCTGAAGGGGCGTCGGAAATCTCGGTTCCATCAAACGCTGGCACCCAGGAAGGTCTGGCTGCCCCTGGCTACCTTGCTTATTAAGTGAGTATCCATTTATTCCTCAAGCCGCTATTAAGTTCCAGTCCAGAGCACGCCGAAGACCCAGTGCCCACTAAAACTTCAATAAATCATCTATGCTGGGACATTGTTAGCTTCTCTGGTTTATCAGGAGAATCAACCCTTCCCACATCTGAAGTTCTCTGGTCTGTCTGTCTGTCTTTATTCTATTAGCTATGGAGAAGCATCTGACCCGTGCCAATGTCAAGGTATTGCTTTAGGCAGAGCAGGTAGGCTGGGTTTTGACAGAGCAGGAAGGAGGGCATGCCTGAAAAGACCCTTCTCCTCCCGCCTTTGGAAGGGCCAGGTGGTCGTCTAGGCTTGTGCATATGGGTGTGTAAACATCAGAGGGAGTCCAGAAGAGACTGCCTCTGAGCCCAATCTCTAGAGAACTGATCTCTAGAGAACCCAATCTCTAGAGTCCCTTGCACATTCTCCTCAAGGAAGGTAGAGGCTTCCTGCCCACCAACACCAATGCACCTCGGCAGACGTGAAGAACTCTTCCTTCCCTCCATGTTGTCTGTGTCCTACCCTGTCCTCTAGCTGATAACTACTCACGGGAGGGTCGCTACCAGTCATAAATCAGGTTCCCAAAGGGCAGGAACCTGGACATCAAGGCAGGGACTGTCTCCAGTGCATACTAGAGCGATGTAAGGATGAGATCCCCTTTAAAGTGGTGGCGGCAATGGCCACTGCGCTCATGTGAAGCTTTACCTCTGTGTCCTCTACACCTGTCCGTCCCGCAAACAATACCCTTTGTCCGTCTCTGCATCTATTTCCTCGTTCTTCTTAATGGCTCTTTTCCTCTCTTTGGGGGGCAATCTTACCCTACTCCCTACTTATGTCTGCTTAGACCCCCTCGTATGCCTTTCTCTGTAGATCACAGCTAGGTTCTTCCTCTTTCCCCTCTGTCCCCGAGATTTCTCTCCTGACTCTTTCCTCTGGAACAGATGTACTATTTCAAGTTTATATCGTCCACTGACACAGACAATGGGGAGCTGTCCGGCCAAACTCCACAGCAAATTCATTCTTAGTCCTAGGAAAACCAGCATTGTGAAACATGACTGCGAGACAGAAACCTGTTTTCGGCTTTTCTGTAATCCAGGTTGGAGGAAAGAGTGGTGAGCGGCGGTGGGGAGTCATTAGGAGAACTCCTGTCATTGACCACAACGAATTTCTAAGCACAGTGACTCTCGGGTACAGAGTTGGGCTTTTGAGCATTTGTGATTTTTTTTTTTTTAAAAAGGGCGCACTCAAAAATTCGACCGTCCCTGGGTGGGCTCGAACCACCAACCTTTCGGTTAACAGCCGAACGCGCTAACCGATTGCGCCACAGAGACGGTGACGGTTGTTTGTGAGGCAGAGAGCAGAGTCAATAGGAGAGACCGCGATATGGCGCAAGAGCAGCGATCAACGCAAGCAGTCACCGTAGCGTTTCCAGCGAAAGAAATCCGACCCCGGAGAACAGGGAGTCGTGGCCGGAGAACCAAGGCGGGTTGGGTTCCGGAGGGGAAGGCGAGGGGCACGCACGTCCCGCCTGGGTTGCCCCGGAACGGTTGGCCCAGGCTATCCTCGGCCAGTGACTTATGTGTGGATGGACACAGAACGTTCCTTTGTAGAGTGAACGGACTTAGGGCTACGTCAGTAGACCTGTAGGAATGGGGGTGACGGACTCCAAAAGCTGAGCAACCTGTAGACCCCCCGTCCCCCCAAAAAAAATTCCCCTCCGCAATTGAACCCTCGCTGCACGAAACCTCGCTCGGCTTCCCATTGTGCAATGAATGAGCGCCCTCGGTATACAGCTGCCGGTGGGTATTCGCAGCTCCGCCAAGTGCCGGGTACACAGTAGGGATTTGTGAATGAATACATGAAGTCAGCTAGCTTGAGTAAAATGCCCAACTCCCGCAGCGCCCCAGGAAGCCCAGGGACACCCCCTGAGTGCAGCCGCAGCGCCACAAGGCCGCGTCCGCAGCCCACGTGTTGCCAGCTCCGCCCCCTTCCCCGGGGCGGGCGGGGGGAGAGGACGCCAGAGTCCAGGTCCGCCAAGATCCCAACATGCCCCGGACGGCAGGCTCTTCCGCACTCACAGTGACTTTTCACTTTCCGCTTTCCAGACCTCCGCTTTGGTGTCTCAACCAAACTATGCATATTTGTGACTGACGGGACGCTTATCCAATAGGAAGCTGCACTGCTCAGGAAGAGTCGGCCCATCAGCCAATGGGGGAGGCCCGGCGGGAGCGTTGGCTCAGAGAGAGCCAGAGCCGGTTTGCAGGAATTGCAGTGGCGATCGGGGTCCTACTAGAGCGCAATCATGGTGAGCTTGGGGAGTGGAGGGAAGGAGCCTGGGGTGGGAATTGAAAGCATGGATGGGTAAGCCTTGAATGTGGGACGGAGAGCGTCTGGTGGTCAGTAGAATGCGCATGGCAGGACCGTGCGGATGTGTGCGGTTCCTGGGTGCCCCGCCGGGCCGATCTTAGGGCTGGAGCTCCGGGTTTCCAGGCGCCTCCGCAGACTAGGCGGGGAGTTATGGCAACATTAGCTCCACGATCTGAGCCCCTTGATTTGTCTGTTTCCAGTCTATTATGTCCTATAACGGAGGGGCCGTCATGGCCATGAAGGGGAAGAACTGTGTGGCCATCGCTGCGGACAGGCGTTTCGGAATCCAGGCCCAGATGGTGACCACGGACTTCCAGAAGATCTTTCCCATGGGTGACAGGCTGTACATAGGCCTGGCCGGGCTGGCTACCGACGTCCAGACAGTGTAAGTGTCCCAGAGCCCCGCCTTCACCCTGGTATCTTTGTTGACCAACTTGTCTCGAGCAGCCTGATGTGAGCCATCTGCCGAACACTACCACTGCTGGACTCTATGGGAAGCATCTTTGTCAGGGAGTCCTCTAATCTTGGTCTTGATATTAGTGGCTAGCCGTCTCATTCTGCAGATGAAGACATTGAGAGTCTCAGAGAGCCTTTTGTTCAAGATGCCATTAATGAATGCCTGCCGGATCCCAGTGCAGGTTTCTCAGAAGCCAAAGGCTGTGCACGCTCCCTAAAGCACTAGGTGGCTTACAAAACAGACATAACAGTGATAACTAACCCTGGTGAGCTGGTAGGCTTGAATTGCCCATTTGCCTAGTTGACGGGTTATGTGGTTTGAGAGATGGGAGAGTCTGAAAGGGGAAGCAAACGGGTCTGGTTTGTGATGCCTGAGCATGGGGGTTAGGATTGCTGTGGTCGGTGTTGGGGAAAGCAAGGAAGGGACTTTAAAAAATGAAATATGTAGCTGGGGTGGTGGTGGCTTTAATCCCAGTGCTTGGGAGGCAGAGGCAGGTGGATCTCTGTGAGTTTAAGGCCAGTTTGGTCTCCAAAATGAGTTCCAAGACAACCAGGACTGTTACACAGAGAAATCCTGTCTCAAAAAACCAAAAGAAAAAATTTCGCTTTTATGTGTGTGGGTATTTTGCCTACTTGTAGTATGTGCACCACATGAGTGCCTGCAGAGGCCAGAAGAGGGCATTGGACACGGACACACACACACACACACACACACACATACACACACTGCATGCTTACCTAGCCTGAGTTGCAGATGATTGTGAGCCAATTATGTGGGTGCTGGGAATAGAATTCAGTTCTTCTGGAAGAGCAGTCACTGCTTTTAACTACTGAGCCAGCTCTCCAGCCCCTACATTTCTTCTTATTATTATTTTATTGTGTTTGTATGCCCAGGTGCCACATGTGTGTGGAGGCCAGGGGACAACTTGCAAAAGTTGGTTCTATCTTTCCATCACGTGGGTTTTAGGAACTGGACTGGTCAGGCTCGGCCTTAGGTGTTTTTGCCTATTGACCAACTCACGATCTTCAAGGATGGGACTTTTCGAGTTGTTGCTGACTGGCCTCAGTGGCTGTTGTGAGGCCAAAGAGTGATTCATTCATTTATTCTTTGAGCATTGAGGTCAAGGGTCAAGTCTCTCTCTTTCTCTCCCCCTCCCTCCCTCCTGGTACTAGAAATTGAAACCAGGATTTTAAATGCTTAAGCATGTGATGTGCTGTTGAACTATATCCTCAGGCCCACGCCCCCATGTCCTTTTATTACTATTATTATTAAAAGATTTATTTTATTGTGTGTGGATGGGTGTTTTGCCTCATGTATGTCTGCGTACTAACTG